GATACAAGAAGCATTTTCCGTAATATACTTTTCGATATATGACATAACAAATATAATTTGCAATCGTGTGAAAAAAGAATCGTACTTCGTTCATATCATTTTTCACATAAAATTATTTTGTAGCAAGGAAACATACTATCGTTTCCACATCACCTTGAGCTAGATAGCTTGGCTTGGTTTTTTTTTAGTAGTTTCCCCAATAGGCCTAAACCATTTTTATCATTTAATGCAACAAATGCTCAAAGTGCTTCCTTCGTACTACATATAACCTTTTTAGTAGAGTTTTTCAGCGGCTTTATTTTTTGCTTAAAATTTTTTTTCTCAAATTAATATTTTCGGCGATAAAAAACATTAAATTTGTGAAATTTTTTTGTTAATAACTTTTTAACGAACAACGAGCGACGGCTAAAACTTTTTGGAGGTTACTCAGGGCAGTGACCTTGACAACATATGTCAAAGACGAGACAATCGAGGCGGGCTCCCTTCCTCGGTATATTTACTAAATATAATGAATTTAAACAAAAAACTATTTTTTAATGTTCACAATATATGCTCAATGTAACCGCCATTCTCTTCTAAACATAAAGCAATCCTCCGCATAAAATTTTTCCTTATTCTCTGAATTATCGGAGGAGTGATTTCCGCACACGCTTTTCGAATTTTATTTTTAAGATCTTCTTTATATAATGTTATTTATGTTATTAAATATTACAATTACACTATATCAATGTTAAAAGCTGATTTCACTTTCCTCATTCCCTACGGATTTGCATTCAATGTATCAATCAAGGAATTTTTTCATTTTTCACGAAAAAAAATTACATGATCGATTCTCTGATTTTATTATTTTTCAATTATGCGAGTAAAAGAAGACCGATCGTCAGATAGGCAACCCGACTTACCGATCTGTATGTTGTGGAAGCACCCTGTACATATATTCAAGATATTTATTGAATTTAATTTATATTACATATTATAATGTGTTAGAAAGAGAATGAAAACCAAAGGAAAGAGTGAGAGGAAAGTACAGATGGCAGTACTGGTATATTCGCTGACTTCGCGCATGCGCATTTCATTTTATGCTACACGAACTTCAAAGGTGCCGACAGGGAGTTGCGCTATTGTATACTGTGATATAAACCGTCTCTGCAATCGAGTCTTCACACCTTCGAGTCGCGCGATTTTAGCCAGAGATTATCTACTTCCGATCGAGAGTTGCGGACGCTTGACACGACTGCGTTCTTCAAGCTCTTTGATAAATTCCTCGCAACGCTGCAGCCACGCGAAATACTCGCCCAAGGTGGCAATTTGATGAGATCCCTCCACCAGATCGCGTTTGGTCTGTTCGATGTTTTCCATTTTCCTGTCTTTTTCACACTTTTAAAGCACTACGTCACAGTTTTCTACGGAGCACTTGCACGTGACTTTTGCACACGATAAACAATATCGTTTGCTATCTTGAACGTGAAATCGCGCAAAAATCTTTCTAACAGAACACCGCTATACTTTTTACAGCCGACGCGTCGATGGGCGTTCAAATCATGTACTATGATTTAATGCGCTTCAATCCTTCTTATAAATGAAGGAGAAAACAAAGGCGCAAAGCAGCCCAACATCGGCACTCATATGCGTTGTAATTCTTTCGAGAAAAAAATGGAAGACGATTCTGGGGGGGGGGGCGCCATTTGTTTATATTGTTTATAAATTCACGCGACGCGTAATTCAATGAGAGAGAGATAAGGATACGTCGAACGGAAAAAAAATCTAAAATTATTTATATTGGGGATGAGGGATGTACCGCGAAAGCGCAAAGCAACCGAACATCAGCACTGAGTGGCGGAAGCAAGGGTACAAAGCAACCGAACGGCGCTGATACGTTGCAATTCTTCCTAGAAAAAACATGTAAGATGATTCTGACGTGTTTATATTGCCAAGTACCGGTCATGTAATATAATATTGCTTATACTTTCGATAAATGCATGAGACCGCGCATACTTTTTACGAGGCGTTTATGACGATATGGTGATAATACCACATCTCTACTACGAGATCTCGTACCGAGACCTCGTTGTCTTGTCACAAAGAGTTTAGCAGTGCACGAGTCGAGAGATACCTGTCAAAAAATGAAGAAGAAGTGGATTCCAATATTTTTTTTCATTGTTCTTCTGTGTTTTGTATAATAGCTGAAGAAGAGATTATTATAATTGATGATGAAACGGATGATGATGATTATTGGATGGAGAGAGAGAGAGAGAGAGAGAGAAATGAAGGAGGAATCATCCGATGAGGAACCTGATTTCCGTTTTCGGATTAGTCAAGATGAAGAATTACTTCAATATGAGCGGGAACAACTTTTAAAGAAGAATCTGGAAACTTCAATCCTTCAGTTTATAAGACATCAAGAGCTCGGCTTGGAAAAACCCCGTACAAATTCGTTGACGGCATTTCTCCTAGCTCGAGAAATATGTGTGCGAGTATTTGTAAAATATCATGGATGTAAATGTTTCAATATAGAACCTAATCATTCTAAAGTAAAATGTATTGGAAACAAACTGCGTGAAAAACTGGAATTAATAAAAGATTTTGAAAAACTGGAAGAAGATGAACATGAGAATATGCTACGGCAAAAATTGCAAACGTTGAAGGTAAAATATTTTTGTCGATGTGTAATAAATTTAAAATATTTACAATTATTATGTTTGATTTTAGAGTTTACGCGATGATATGAATAGTCGACGAGAGGATAAACAGATATATGCATCCAAACCTGTATCAAAATATAAATTGTGCGTATTGTATAATGATGAATGGAAAATATATGGATAATATTGTAAATAACTTTTAATTTATAATACATCAAAAGTTTTAAAATAAATTATTAAAAACTATTCAAATGTGTCTTTTTCCTGTTGCAGGAGCTGCCTCCCCGTTAGCCCGGTGCATCACCCCCTCCCCCTATATTACATTTTACTTACTTTTATATTTTATATTAGATTATTATACTTTTTATTATTATTCTTAATTTTAAGTACACACACGCGCACACACACACAAATGTACATACACATTTTAATAAACTTATATTTTAATTTAAAAAAGAATGTGATTACTTACGTGCCTCTCCTTACGCTCCCATCCCTTGCACTATCTCTCTTTCTCGCGCTAGTTGTAAGAACTTATCGTTCTCTTTCGCACGCTTTGTCTTTCAAAGAAATGCTGCTGTTTATATTGTTTATAAACCGAACATATTCGTATGCAATACTGTTTATCAACCGGGCATGTTATATAATATTGCGATAAAACATCTAACACGCGCCGCCTCCGAAATTCCCTCCGTCCCGCGTGACGTCATTCCCCCGCGTCTCCGTAATCCCCCTCGCGCCTCAACCCCCCCTGAGAGGACCTGGATTAGAACCCGCCTTATATACCTATTTAGATTATATCTTCCGAAAATAGAGCCCTTCCGTAGAAAGGCAAATCCATTGTATTCACGCATGTATTTTGTAAGACGGAACAAAGTTCACTCTTAACAGGGATCAAGATTATATATAGAATGAATTTTATTAGATATCTATTGTTTATTAATAGTATTTATTGGTCGTTTAATTTTTAAAATATTTTTGCAATATTCTCTGCTAAAAATACTATTGGAATTTTCTTTTACATTATACCACCAAAATTATGGGAATTATGCTCGAAAATATTGATGGATGTGAGATGTTATACAGGATGATTCTGAATAAACATTTGTCTTTAAAATATCAAATTCTTGAATGAATTCTAAGACAATTTTTTCTCTTGCAAAATTTTGTCCAGAGTTTAGTTTTTAAACTATAAAGAAAAATAGTTTACTAATTACGGAACGAATACAAGAGATAGGTAAGAACGGTGCGATTCACCGTCCGATATAGGCAATTACATGGGGCAGTTGCCGCGATCAGCTGATTGCTATACGGCCTGTTCTATAATGAATCGTAAGTCGTAAGTCATAAGCAAATTGACCAATCATGATTGATTATTTTTGAAATAATCGACTATGGTTGGTCAATTTGCCTACGACTTACGACTTACGACTCATTGTAGAACGACCCTACGCGATGAGTGTAGCAATCAGTGTGTGTGTATGTATGTGTGAGAATGTGCACGCATATACACACATGCACGTTAATTCTCTCTCTCTCTCTCTCTCTCTCTCTCTCTCTCACTTATTATATATTCTTACCTTGTAGAGATTCATATTGCTAATAAATGATTGTTACACATGTAACACATTGTTGATAACAATGAGACATTATTAATACACACACATACACTCTGACACACCGTGTTAGACGAAAGCGAAGTTTTTTATTCTTCGTATCTACTTACGAATTTACTATGTCTTAGGTGCTAGTACCTAACTTGCTTGTTGTCAACGGTCGCGCCGCGCAGTTTTCGCATCGAGTAATGTACGCCATACATTGTTAACACATTTTTTTTCTTGTAAGTCGTTTTCATAATTAATTTATAACGAATGTGTGGTTAGTATAATAATAATAATAATAATAATAATTGCGTTTATTAACATTTGAGTTATATACATTTTATATACACTTGTTCCATAAGTATTTGTGTTGGTGCGTGCGCCACATAAGGTTCCTTGTACAACATTTGTTTCCCCATTTAGCCTCTCCTCATCCTCTCTCCCACCTGATATGTAAATTCTTCCTCCTCTCTGTTCCTCCTCCTTGCTATACTCCACATTCTTGTCAAAGCTCGTGCTCCATTTATCTGTTGCCTCCAACTTTCATGTTTTTCTCCAGTCATATCGCATGTTTCGAAAACATGTTGAAGCGTCTCTTCTTCTTTTCCGCATAGTCTGCACCTTCTATTCTCCTCCGCTTCCCAATACTTGTTTGCCCTCGTTTCAGTGCCTAATCTAAATCTTGCTTCCATTTCCAAAGCTCCTTTCCGATTATTTTCTTTACTTAGATATTCTGGTTTCTCCATGGCTTCTGGTACTAAGTTTTTATATTCCTTCGCAATTTTGATCTTTCTAGCTTCTCACTCCATATCTGTCTTTCCATACATTCACCGATGTCTTCCAACCTAATCCAAATTCCACTTCCATTTTTCATTTCAAGATCATAATAATCTATCGACCATCCTTTTTCTTCAAGATATTTTTTCCTTGCGGTTTTCCATCTTTCACATGTTTCTCTTTTCCTGTTTATTCTCATTTCTGTGCTAAATTTATTCTTTACTCTAATGCACTCTTTAATCAGTTCATTTCCTTCGCTTTTCATTATTTTTTCCTCGTATTTTACCGCTCTTATTCCTGATTTGGTTGCAATTTTATTTCTTTTTGTTTCCAAGTGAAGCATGTGGCTAGGTGTCGTTCTGTCCAGTTTTAGTGTCCATTTTATATATTTATCTTGTAAACCTTCAATTTCCTTATACTCTTTCCAGCCCCATATCTCCACGCCATACATCATAATACTCTCCACCAAGACTTCAAACAAGTACATTCTTTTTTTCCAGTTATCCTTGAAGTTTCTTTCTCCTATACTCCATACTTTTCCTAGAACGGCCATTGCTTTCTTCCTTATATTCTTTATATGTGCTTCATTTCCGTTGTTTCTTTGTAAAGTGTATCCTAGATAGTTGAATTCCTTCACCTCCTCAATATCTTTTCCTTCCCATGTGAATGTTATGTTTCTCTTCCTTCCTCCTGCTTTTCTTCCTCTCATGATTTTAGATTTATCTATATTCAGTTTCAATCCTCTGTCCTGTATGTATTTCCTGAAATTTTTAATCATTTCTTTTATTCCTCCTTCGTTGTTTGCTAGCAACACCACGTCATCCGCATACGAGACTGTCCAAACCTTCTTCCTTCCTATCACTATTCCTCCTAACTGTACACTTCTCATAGTGCTTTCCAAATCTGCAAAAGCTAAGTTAAACAATGCTGTACTGAGCGGACATCCCTGCCTCACTCCTTTTTCCGTGTTTATTTCTTCTGATAATTTTTCATCTATCCTTATTTTAAAAGCCGTTCCGTTATATATCTCCTTTATTCTATCTCTCAATTTACTACTGATTTCATCTTTCTCCATTAGTTCCCATAATTTTTCTCTTCTTATTTTATCAAAAGCTCCTTTCATATCTGCGAAGAATAGGTAGATTTCTCCCTTTTCTTTCTTCGTTTCCTCTTCCATGGCCGTCTTCACAATATATATAGCTTCTAAAGTTCCTTTTCCTATTCTATATCTAGTTTGTGTCTCTCCCATTATTTCCCCTTCTTCCATTTCCTTCTCCAACCTCTTCCTGATTATCTCTGCATAGATTTTATATCCTGTGTCCATTAGCGTTATTCCTCTATAGTTCTTTACGTCATGTATGTCTCCTTTTTTATGTATGGGTGTTACTATGCCTATTTTCCATTCTTCTGGTAGTTTCTGCTCTCCGTTCCAAATCTTGTTTATTATCTTGTGAAATTCTTCTACTATCTCCTCCTCCCCATATAGCCATGCTTCATTTGGTATTTTGTCCTCTCCTGCTGCCTTCCTTTTCTTCAATCTTTTGATCACATCCCTCATTTCCTTTAAACTTATTTCATTTTCTTGATTTGCTATCCTGTCTGTTTCTACAACTTCTTTTTCTATTGTTCCCTCCATTTGGACTTGAAAGTGCTCTTTCCATTCATTTAATTTGATCTTGTCACTCATCTTCGTTCTTCTTTTCCTTTGTCTGTTTATTATCTCCCAGAATTTCTTTCCTGACTTATCATTCTTCGCTTCAATCCATTCTCTCTCTTTATAATTTGTTTTCTTCTTTTCCAATAAGTTTCTATACTTTTTCCTGTAGACCAAGTACTGATCTTTTTTGGTCTCATCTTCTCTGTATCCTCTCTTAGCATCCTTCAGTTCCTTCTTGGCAAAGTGGCATTCCTCGTCCCACCATCTTTTTTCATCTGGTCTCTCTTTAACCTTTATTTTTTTTAAACAGAGTAGTTAAGGTTGACCAAAACTGGCAATTTTAATTCGAGATCACAGTTTCACAACGTTTCGACCATAGGTTTTGGCCCTTTTCAAGTGAACTACAAAAAATAATTACAATATTACAAAAATAAATTAATTGATTTTTAAATAACGAGCAAAAGGTTACATACAAACAGTAATTTGATTAAGAGTTATATCGTGAAAAATAATCACTTCGTCACCAATATCATGTCAACCTGTCCTCACCAACACAAAGAGAAAGACTAAACAACCTTTATTATTTTCTCATAAATATCGTTTAAATTATCGGTGTCCTTTTGTAAATTAATCGTGTTGTCAAACTTTTTTATATAAAACATTTCAGCAAATTCTCTCTTTCTCACGTGTTTCTCGCTATGTAAAATAACCGGTGAGGACCAATCGAAGTCATGATTAAAATCAACTTTATGTTTGCTAATAACGGAAAAATTACTTTCGTGCGCTTTAATGTTGTTACGATGTTCTTTTATACGGGTGCATACATGTCTTTTTGTTTGGCCAATATATGACTTATTGCAATTTTTGCAATCTAATTTGTACACTACTTCCGTCATGTTGTTCGTAGGCAGCTTATCTTTACCGCGTTTGATCAGTACATTGAGTTTTTTAGGAACATTATAAACCACATTTAGGCCTATTTTTTTAAAAAAGTGATCAAATTCTTCACCCAGGCCATCAACGAATGGCAAAGAAATGTACGAAGATGCCACTGCATTGTCACATCCATTATCAATATTAACATTATCACGATGTTTCAAGAATTGTAGTCTTTTTTGCACATAACGGTTAATGATTTGGCTCGGAAAACAATTGTTGGAAAGAATCCACTTGACAGTATCAATGTTCTTCGCATGGAATTGAGAATCAGCCAATAGTATAGCGCGGTCAACAAGACTGTAAATAGTGTTCAATTTGTATTTCAACGGATGTTTAGAATGAAAATTAATAAATCTGTTGGAACAAGTGGGTTTCCTAAACCAATCGGTTAGAAGACAACCATCAGATCGAATAACAACCGTGTCGAGAAAGCTGATACGAGAATCGCATTCAATTTCATGCGTAAAAGCCAAGCGTTGATGATAATTATTAAAAGTCGATTTTATCATTTCCACTTTAGACCGTGGAACAATGGTGAAAATGCCATCAACATATCTGTAATAAACCGGCACATTGAAATCCAGCAGACTCAAACAATGTGTTTCCAAATCATCCATCACGATATCAGCCAAGATAGGTGAGGAGAACCCATAGGACTACCAAAAATCTGTTCGTAAAACTGTCCGTTGAATGTAAAACTAGTAGAATCTAAAATCATTTCAATCACGTGTAAAAACTGTGATAAGTTAAATTTCGTATTAGGAGCGATGTGATTCCAACGTTTAGTGACAGCACTCACAACCAAATCCTTGGGAATATTCGTGAACAACGCAGTGACATCGAGAGAAATCATTATTTCGTCATCTCTAATAATTTTGCCTTTTAAATAATTAGCAAACGTCCAACCATCCTTGATGTGAGATTTAGGTTCCAAGATCGAAATCTTCAATATGTCATGGATGTATTGCGCGACGTTGTATACGGGACTGCCGATCGATGACACAATAATTCGCATTGGAAAACCAGACTTGTGAATTTTTGGTAAACCATAACACCGTGGTAAATTACCATTCGTAGAGTTCAATTTTTTATATGTAGACTCATTTATAAGATCATTGCTACGCCAAGATTTCACCATAGTGTTGATTTTACCAGTTAATTTTCTGATCGGATCCTTATTCAGTTTTCTATAAGTGGATTGATCATTCAGAAGTGCCTCCATTTTTTCCACATAATCTGTCTTATTCATTACCACCGTGACCTGACCCTTATCAGCCCTGGTGACAAACAGATCGTCGTTGTTGTGTAAGAATTGTTTGCAAAGAGAGAGGCTTCCTAGAACATATCTGTCTATATAGTTGACATGCCTTTTTTCACAAAGAAATCTATTGAGAGAATTAGCGACAGAATTTCTAGTACTTGCAATGACGGTAGCAGGGATGCGGTTATAATTGGTTTCCAAGTTCTTTAAGGTCTCAAGAACAACGCTAACACGATCTTTCGCGTGAGACTGGAGTAGCGGTAATCCAAAATTGTCACCAAGACTCAAAAGTTCAGACACTCGATCAGGAATGTTCTTATTACTGATGTTAATCAACCATCCGGTTTTGTCAATATTGTTAAAAGGATTCAAAGATGTGTCATACTTGGCTGTCAAATTTCTAAATTTTTTAGATTAGATTTTAATCTATTAGTGATTATTGAAAACTTACGTTCATTAAAATCACAAAATTTTTTTAACAGATCACGTGGCAGACATTCCAGACCACTTTCAATCCTTCCAACTTTAGCGCGCAAATATTTTAGATTACAATTAAGATCCTTAATTTCAAGATTCAATAATGTATAACGATATCTCGTCTTGGTTTTCTCAAAAATGCGATTAACGCGACTGCTACAAAACTTGATGTTAATCTTTAACTTGCTAATGTGTGACGGAATTAAGTCATATCTCCTGCATCGAAGTAAGAAAATGAGTTGTTGATTGGCAGTGCAGATCTTCCTTTTATTATTGATCCAAATAATAAAGGTTGTTTAGTCTTTCTCTTTGTGTTGGTGAGGACAGGTTGACATGATATTGGTGACGAAGTGATTATTTTTCACGATATAACTCTTAATCAAATTACTGTTTGTATGTAACCTTTTGCTCGTTATTTAAAAATCAATTAATTTATTTTTGTAATATTGTAATTATTTTTTGTAGTTCACTTGAAAAGGGCCAAAACCTATGGTCGAAACGTTGTGAAACTGTGATCTCGAATTAAAATTGCCAGTTTTGGTCAATCTTAACTACTCTGTTTATTTATTTGCTGGTGACTTTGAAGTTTTTTAATTTATTTTTTTTATTGGAATTGAGTTTCTTATTTTTCTTCTTAAGTCCTTCCATTCGAATACGCTTCCTATTTTTTTAAGTCTTTCCATATATTCTTCTATCTCATTGTCTGTCCATTTGATTATCTCTTTCTCTTTTTCCATTTCTTCTTCTCTTTCCATTCCAATTCTTAAGCTTACTTTAATCATTAGATGGTCTGACGCTACTCCCTCTACCACTTCCATTTCTTCTATCCTTTCCTCTCCTTTTCGATTTGTAATCACGTAATCAATTACCGATCTTCCTACCGCTCCGATATAAGTCATACTGCCTTTTTCCTCTCCTTGGACATTCCCATTTATTATGTACAAGCCATTTTCTTCCAACCATTTTATAAGTACTCTGCCCTCCTCATTTATTACTTTGTCTTCTGATGTTCTACTTTCTTCGGCAGTGTCGTCTTCAATTCTTCCTCCTTTTTCTGCTGTCCTCGCATTGAAGTCTCCTCCTATTATAATATATCTGTCTTTGTTTTCTTCTATAATCTCGGATATTTTCTCGTAATTTTCCTTCCTGTTTTCTCTCATATAAGTACTTATTACTATTATGACTTCATTTCCTGTATCGATTTCCATTTTCATTACTTCGTCTGTCACTTTCTCCATTTTTAACTTTTTTGCTATTAAATTTTTCCTGTGCGCCATCGCCAAGCCTCCTTTTGGTCTTCCTCTCTTTTTTTCTCTTCTTGCCTTTATTTGTATATATTCGTAGTTTTTCATCTTATAATCCATTATTTTGTCCTCTTTTTCGATCCATGTTTCTGAAAAGTTTATTAGATCAGATTTTCTCAGTTGTTCCCAATCGTCCTCTTCTAGACTTGTAAGACCTGCAACGTTCCAGAAAATTATTTCTATGTTTTTCTTTTCCTCCTCTCTTATTTTCTTTTTGTCAGGTCTTGATGTTCTTTCTCTTTTTCTATTAAGTTCTTTGTATGTTTGCTTCTCTCTTTCCTTTCCGAAACCACTTTTCTACTTTCTCGTTCTAGTAGAAAACCTCTTTATCCGTAATAATCTTATTATGTCCTATGTCACACTTCGTGCCATTCAGCTCCAGTTCTCTTCTCTTTTTGATCACCTCTCTTTTGTTTTGTCTCTCCTTCCATGTAGCGTCATCATTTATATAGATTTTGTCCTTTTCTCCTCTTAGCTTGTTTTTTCTTTTCATTATTTCAAACTTTTGCTCTTTGCTTACCAGTTGAATTCCTATAGTTTTTTCTGCGTTCCTTATTTTCCATATTTTCCTTATCTCTACCTTTATTTCCAGTTTTTGAGCGAGCCATCCTATTAGTTCCTCCTTATCTTGTATCTCTAATCCCTTGATTATTACATTCTTCTTTCTTCTTTCTCTCTCTGCCTCCTCTACAATCCACTCCAATTCTTTCTTCATTTTTTCATTCTCTTTTATGTCTTTTCCACTATCATATTCTCGCCTATTGCTATGAGATTTTTCTTTTATTTCACTTTGCATTTTTTTTACCGCTTCCTCCAGTTTGCTTACTTTGATTTCATTTATATCTTCATTTTTCCCTCTCTCTCTTTTTATATCATCAATTTCTTTACTCATTTTCTCTAGTTTCTTGTTTGTCTCTGCTTCTAGATCTCTCATCATTTTTTTCATTACTTTGTTATTTTCCTCTATTTTCTCTAGTTTTTGTTCCAAGCTTTTTCATCTCCCTCTATCCTCTTCGTCTCTTGAATCTAATTTATCCTTTATTTCTTTAAACATTTTAAACGTTATATCCTCCTGTTTGCCCATACTCATGTTTTCTTCCATTTGTTCTTCGTTCTTCTTTTTTGGTTCTTTTCCTCTGTGTTCAGGACTTTCTGCTTTCCTTTTCTTCTTTTCTTCCTCCGAGATTTTCTTCTTAAGCCAAGTTGTTATTCGATTATTTCCCTCACTTCCGCTTTCGTTTCCACTTCTACCAGTGCTGCTATCTCTGCTCGTTACCGAGCTACTCCTACTCCTATTCAATATATCCTTTGGCCTGCCTCTCTTCTTTATCTTGTTGTCAACCTCAATTATTGTGCTGTCCAAATCTTCCGTACTGCCCTCTGCCGGTTCCATGCGTCGTTAATTCACTAGTCTGTTAGGATTTCAAATGGACTTTAAGGTCTAGTCTGTCTTTGTGTGCCCGTCTTAGGATTGTGATCCTCGCGTTGTGTACACGCTTTTGTTGTGTACTCGCCTCAAAGTTTCCTTAGCTGCCTCGCAGTTATTCTAACCTTGCTTTTTTCATTTCACCTTCCAACCTTTTCCTTTCCTCCGCACTCCACACTCTCACCGACTCGCCACTCCCCTCCCTGACTCTCGGCTATCGCTTTCGCTTCTCCGCACTTCCCACTGACCTTGACCAGCTCCTTCCGTCTCAAAACAGCCAACAACCTCAGCACTCACACATCACACGTCTCCGCACTCGAGCTCCTCAATTTAAATCTCCAATGTGTGGTTAGTAATTGAGTGCATTAATCGTTTATAAATTCGTTTATAAATCGTTAGTAAATGTTTATCGATCATGAATGATTAAGTGCGTGAATAAATTCGTAAGTAGATATGAAGAAACGATAGAAGAAAAGAAAAAAACTTCGTCTTCGTCTAACACGATGTGTCAGAGTGTATGAGTGTGTATTAGGTCTCATTGTTATCAACAATGTATTACATGTGTAATAATCATTTATTAACAATATGAATCTCTACAGTGTAAGAATAAATAATAAATAAGTGAGTGAATGAGTGAGAGAGAGAGAGAGAGAGAGGGAGGGAGAATTAACGTGCATATGCATATACAGGGTTAGGAAAAAGTCTGGATACCTCCGAAAATTTTAGAAACTAAGAGTTATGGAGGAAAATTTCAAATACAAAAGTTGTAGGATATCAAACGGAGCATCTCATGGTAACTTTGACTTTGACCTTGACAGCGACCTTGAGGGTTGTTTCAAGGTCAAGTTGTTTTTTCCAAATAAGAACCCCCATTTTTTATTGCAAAAATAAAAAGCGGAAGAAATTTGCTATCCAACGCTATAAGTAACATAGGGAGCCAAATATTATCTGAATTATTATCTGAATGTCATTTGAAGGTCCAATGATGCTTTTCCCGAGAAATTGTAAAAGATCAGCCAATAATTCGGAAACTTAGCGATAGAACCTTGAAATGACTTGAAAGTGATTCCAAAGTCGAAACGAAGATCACCCTTTTTTTGATTGGCCAGGTCGCACTTACGTCTTGCCTTGATTGGCTGGATTTCATCT